GTAGACAATCCGTTGTTTGCACAAAACCGCAACAATTTCATACCGTTATTATTGAGGTCGCTAGGGCCGTTTTTCCCAATCACGCCGTTCCACTTTTCAGCGTCTACTCTGACATGCGCATTAAAATCGCCCATGTGTGTGAGGGTCTCCGTATTCGGCACTTCGCGCAGTGCACACTCCAGTTCCTCAAGAAAGGATCATATTCTCCCTTTCATTGGGCCCACAGACCTTTAACAATGACAACGTTTTGGTCCGTTGCAGCTTCAGTCGGAGGATTGTCATTCTTCCTCTGACAGGCTTCCAGTCAGTGATTCTATCTGCGAGGTTCGGTTTTACCAGAACACCAACACCGGCCTGAGCGCGCGTTGTGATATCGACACCTGAGTAGAATGGCTTCAATCGGCAGAGGTTCAGAGTTCCGGAACCTTGGCATTTCGTTCACGAGAGTCCAAGTGTGTTAAGTTGGTACCTTATGGCCTCATCAACTAACTCTTGACCTTTTCCCCAGAGTGAGGATATATTCCAATTTCCGACTTTAAGCTGGCAATGTCGTGCCGTTCTCGTAGAGCCTTTTCTGACGTGCTATAATGGCATGGCGCTGTCTGCCTCCTCCCTTCAGAACGGGTAGCGACTCAGTTGCTGACTGGCATATTCGTCGTCATTCCGTCGGTCTTCGTCAGCCGTTGTTGTGCTGCTACGTCCCGGGCTGGCAGAGGGCGACGGACAGGTTCTGATCGCGACTTTTCGCAGTTTTTCTCAGTGTCCCAACAGCGTGCACTGCCCCTTGTAACCCGGGCGACGACCGAGCCGGTATGATTTTCGATGACGTCACTACCACGAAGGTGAGGCAGCGAATTTTACGGAGCATTCGCCACGGTCTCCAACTCTCCTCCTTTCTGAACCGGGCTTGAGACTGGCAACAACGGTAATTGTGTATTATGTATCTATCTGTAAATTTTTTATGGGTAAATGCACTTGGTTAGCTGCATTTTTAATTAAAAGCTCTACATATTTTCACTAGTTAATAGATGGCTTGGTTTGTTTTTAAATCTACCGTCAGTTAAATCAGTTCAGTTATTTGTATTATAGATGGTGATAAGAGCACATTTACATAGCGTTTTATCACCTCTCCTGTGAATGCGATTTGATTAATGGAATATTCACTTGCTTGGCAAGGCTAGAATTTTTCGCACAAATTTGTGCTTGTTTGCAGAATTTGGTCTTCGCTGCTTCCGCTGAGAATGGCCAATGCGATTCTTTGTTAGGTTTACATGGCAGCATGCCTTGAAGAAGTCTGTGGGTCTATTTGAACAAGCCACGCTTTTATGCTCCATAAATTCTGGTTGCATGCAGGTCATGGTTATTTGGTTGCCTATGTTGGTTGTTGTTAATCGAATCGAATAAGTTATTACTTAATCCAAAAAGTGGAGATATTGCACCTTACACTACGAATATTCTAATGAAGTGAAGCTGCCGTTACTTCAATAGTTCTTTAATGTTGTAAAGTAGGGATGACTGGTTTTGCTTAGCGAATCCAGACAAAGACATTTATAGCCTAAACTGTATCTGTGGCAGTATTTTATTTTGAAGTCCATGTAAAGAATGGTTAGTTTTTACTCATCACTCTTGCTAGTGGTGTTGTGAACTTTCGCAGTCGTTATTTTTCGTAAGTTTGTTTCAATAGCAGTTTTAGAGAGTATTCACCAATTGGCTAGTATTAATTTTATTCTTAATTTATTATAATGCTTTGATTTTATTTCACTACAATTATTTTTTAGGATAGAAAAATGGCATTGAAAACCCTTCAGACTTCTCCACTAGGAAGTTCACTTGTAGGTAAATTCCGTTCATCGGAAGTAAGGAAAGTAAATGATAGTAAAGAGTTGGCAGCCAAAGAGGGGGGCAAGTCTATGAACAAACTAAATCTTTTGCCGCGTGCGACTCGTTCGGCAAAGAAGGAAAAATTAGTGAAGAAAAATGCCTCAAAGAAAGAAACAGGCGTCTCGACTGAACCGCCGCACACCGTCGACTGCGGGTCGAATACTGAGCTCAGCATGGCGAAGCTTAAAGAGGTCGTTGACGGAGACCAGCCGAATGAGGTGGTGAAAATGCTGAAGAGTGCAGTTCCATCTGAACGCTACTTCGAACTGATCGCTGAGGAGAGACGCAAGGCTTTAGACGAAGCACTGCAAGAAAATCTGCAGTTATCGCAGGAAATCGCCAGACTACGTGAGGAAAATTCCCAGTTGAAGGTACTGGCCGAGGAAGGACTTAAGTATGCCGAGATCCTTCGTCAGGTTGTTGGCGACGAGGAACCAGCGAATTAGGTTTAACCTGCCTTCTTGTATGTAGCATGTTTACGCGAATAGTGGGTGTAACCCTGTTTTACAATTTTGACATGGTTATCACCTTTGGCACATGATGCTGTTTGATATCTGACGTTATACTAATTGAA